ACTTGCTGTGGCCTTAACCTTGGTTGTACAACATGCCCCTGTGGCTGCTTTTTATAGCATTCAGGATGTATGAGAAGCTGATACAAGGCAGTTAAAAATAAAGCCATTGCTGTAAGGACATGACTTAAGCTCTTCAGGCTTTTGGCAGAGTCTGCATTGCAGTTACACCACAACAGTCTTTGCAGATACTGTATGTTTGAGATACCGTTTCTTCCAGCCATTAATGAGATGAAAAATACTGCAAGAAAGACAGCTTGCACTAGGAGACTAAACTTAATCTCTAACATATGTGGGTGGCACTGTAGGTGAATAGTGGCTGAGGGTGGGACAGAAAAAGACTCTGGAAATATCTCTAAAATGCTTTTGGTGTCCACAGTATCTTGTGTCTGTTGTAGGCAAGTTTGGGAGGAAAAGTAAGGCTGATGGTTACAGGGGCAGCACCTGTATCTGCAAGTGTACTGACCTTCTTGAGAACAGCTCTTGGCTGTCAGGTGAGTTTCCTGGCCTTAATCCTAAAACAAAAAAAAGATTTTAATACCTGGTTCCAGCTTTGTTAGAACATTTCTAGGAGTCTGTTAGAACATTTCTAGGAGTCTGATTATAGGGATAACTCCTGGCTTTCTTCATGGAGACTACACAAGTATGTACTCCTTTCCAGAGTTTCTCAGTCCCCTGAGATTTCTGTATTCATCACAGTCTTTATAATAACTGAATTATCCAGCTGAACTGTCTTAAGGGAAAGATTTGGGGGGGAGGCTGCTGTAAGCAATAATTAATGTTCTTGGATTAAGTATCTGTGACTTGCCTTACTTACAGATGTATTCAAAACTACTGTAGAGAATGTCATAAAGATGATGATACTGTGGCGTTGTTGCTTTGAAGATAAGACTGGGGAGAATAAGGTTGCACACACTGCATTTATCTTCAGAGCCTCTTCAAAGTATATGCTTTTTGAGGTGAAATCTGGAGAACAATGGCACAGGATGGAGCAAATGTGTTAAAATAAATTTCAAGAATAGAAAACATGAAAAACACTCTAAAATGTGAGGCTTCTGTGACTTCTTGAAGTTCTTCAATGGTGTGCTGGTGTAGCAATGCATTCTGCACAGAAAAGGGAAGCCTGTCTTGTGTGTAATAATCACAGAGCTGTGATGGGGTGTAGGGATTCCATTCCTGGCTGTCTTGGACAAACCTGTCCTTAAAATATGTGAATGAAGTCCTTGCTAGTACCACTGTTCTTAGTTTCTTCCTGTTGCTCCCTTTCTGTTTGATCTATACAGCTGTCAAATAGCATGTGAACTTAGGTTAAATGTTGGAACTGAAGGTGGAATGTTAGCACTTAAAATTGTATATTGTGATAAAACTCTAACGCAGTGATAATCTTTTTAGAAGATGCTGGGGATTTTGCTAAACTCAAATTTAAACAACTAGAAAAAGAAGCAAAATAGTAATTTAATTTTATTGAAGAAACTATATTGAAAAGTAAATCTTAAATGTTTTGGTTTCATGTCCTAGTTCTATGAAGGCTATGGACAGACTGAATGCACAGCTGGATGCTCACTGTCACTGCCTGGTGACTGGACAGCGGGTATGGAGTTTAAGGGTCTACCTGTCTTTTAAATTTCAGGATGCTATAGAGGTCTCTTATCACATTACTTAGTCTTCAGTATCTATCATGAAGCATAAAATTCTGTTTGTCTTCAACTGAAGTAAAAAAGCTTTGAAGGGATCACTTGAAGTTTCTGCCCCTAAATAGCTAGGAATGTTCAGTAATCTAAACTTCTGATAGGCTTTGTCCTTGTAAATTGAAGTGGATTTAGGAGAGGGGAAGTCATAATATCAACCCTTGTATCTTGTACAGAATATGAGTCTTCTGTATATAAACACAGTGCTGGAAATTTAAATGGCATTTTTTGGTGTTGGAGCAAACAGTCTGCATTTCTGTCAGCTGTTACATCTCTAGCTCCCTAACTGAAATAATACTGATAATTGAAACTATAGTGGGACTTTTGCTACTTAAATGTGTCCATAGAGTGAGGATCCTGATTGTAAGAAAAAGCAAGCCTGAGTACATAGTTCAGCTTGTGACATTCTAGGGATATCTGAGAATTTAATGTTTCAGTCCCAGCAAATGTAAGCTATTACTGTGCTGGTATTGGTGTAGTACGGTACCAGAAATCAGTTTTCAATCTTTTTTTACTTTAGCATGTAACCAGCTTATTGTTTTAAGGAGCTGAGTAAAAAGCAGTTCAGGCTATTGAAGTGTTATTCTATTTAATAGGTCATGTTGGAGCACCAATGCCATGCAGTATCATCAAGCTTGTTGATGTACAAGAAATGAATTACTTGGCTGCCAAAGGAGAGGGTGAGGTAAGTAATTTCCAAAGGTCAACATGAGCCTCTTATGAAATCTTGGAAAATGTTTTTTGTTCCTAAAATAACAACTGTCTGAGTTTAGTGAAATGCTAAACATGGCCTACTGTCTAAAATCAAAGATGCCTGCCTTGCCTGCATGAGATGTCAGCCAACAATTCACAGAAGCAAACCAGAAAATAGTGTATTGGAGGGGAGAAAAAGCAGCTTACTGTGGGATAACAGATTACTAAGTATTTATGGTTGTGTGACCAATGTGCCATCTTCCAGCTGTGGGACAGCTGAGAAGCTAGCTATCTCCTCCTGCATTTATCCTTCAGTAAAAGCTAGCAGAGGGCTCCTCCCTCACCCCCACTGCCAAGTGCTGGAGGACAGCTGATGCATGTAGCTTGTTACCCAGCTTGTGATCTGCGAGATGAGGTAATTCAAAGTGGCTGGAACACTGTTAAGAGAAATGGAGACAAAATGCCATGAAGGCTGCTAATGATTTGTGACAACTGCCTGCAAATTCTTCTGAAACATTTTCTGCAGCCTGCACAAACCGAACACGTATGTTTTACAAATGGCACTTTGAGGACTCGGATTTGTATCTTTATATGTAATGCTATATGTTATATCTTCCAATATTTTTTCAAAGTAAAATATATACAGCTTGAACTTTGGTATACACTTTAAACAGATGTCCATGAAATAATTTATTTTCCCCAAACGTTGGAAGCAAACTAACTGGGGTATCTTTCATATGCTTTTGAGAGGCCTTGAGGGCAGTTGGGGTGTAAGAAATAGATACATAAAAAGTAGCTTAAGTGAGTAACTAACTTGTGACTGCAAACAATATATAGTCTTCGTTTTGGTTGTAATTCATATGAGACTATAGAGACAAATCATTGGGCTTTAATTGCCAGAAATACATAAGGATTTAGTTGGGCTTTGTGGTGGGAAACTGCTTGCTCTCCACTTGCAATGTCAAGATTTTCCTGTGTTGTGTATAACACAATGTTCAGTATTCACCAAAAATTTTTTCTTTGCTTTAAATATGCTTTTAAGGCTTGGTCTGCTAGAGGAACTGAGTATAAATTCTCATAATGAGAAAGTTAAGTAGTTCTTGAAAAAAACTTCTAAAAATGTTTTGCTTCCAATTATTGTGAAAGTTTGCTGCATTAGGAGTTACTTTGGACTTGAATAAATATGGTAGCTCCTTAATATATCAGGACCTATCTTAGTCTTTCAGTCCTAGCTTCCTCAGTGTGAGCTATTCTGACTTTAACAAATAAGTGTTGTAACTTGTTTCACAGAACTGAAGCCCATAGCTATAGAACTTGCTCTCATCCTTTGCCTAAAATAGATCTTTTTCCTCATGGTCTGTCTGCCCTACAGCTAGGTTAAACACTTCTAGTCCTCCTTTCTGAAAGTAAGCTTTCAATGTTCTGTGTTCTGTCAGCCTTACTTTCCACTTTTGCCAGTTATTCATGTTCAAGAAGGATAAATTTGTGAGTAGAATATATATGCTTATATGCAGATGAGGTCTTGGTGCCAGTGAGCAGGAAAAAGATAAATGGTTTGCTGTTTCTACTGGGAAAAGCTGTCACCTACAACCATCCTGTGATTGCAGGAGCCATGAAAAATGAAACATTTTGATCAGTCAGCCTTTAACTTGACTGGGACATGTGGAATCTTCCTCTACTGTTATCCTTCCAGATAAGCTCTGTTTTATAGCAGAAATAACTTGGTTCTTAAAACATGACCTTGGTTTGATCATGAGCTTGATACTGTTCCTTCAAGGTCATTAGAACCCTCACTAATACTTTGATCTCCCTCCTGTTGGCAACATCTGCTGCTCATTGTACTATAGTTCACCAGCATGCATGTATTTCTATGCTGAGGTAAGCACTGAAAATACTTGGGATGAGTTTTTCAAGAGTTGGTCTCCAAACTACTAGTAATTTCTTCTAGTCTGAGAATTTACATTAGCGCCTGAAGAGTCTTTAGTAAGAGTTCCTGGCTCACTTTACAATTGTACTAATCCCCTAGACCAATAGTTGGCCTAGTATTTTATCAGCCCCATTGATATTTATTATCCATTTGGCCTTAACTTAAAACTGGATTTTCTATCCCATTCTTCTAGATTTGTTCTAGAGTCCTGATAATATTGCCCAGACCAGACCCTTCTTATTGTCTTTTGTCACCTGTGCATTGCGAAGCCCCTCCCAAGCTGGTGCAATGGTTTGAATCCTTTCTTGTTTTTGAGGACTTTTGTGTAGAGTTTCAGGGGTTTTGGACTCCCGCTTCCACAAAAGTTGTGTGCAGCAGGCGTCTTTAAGTTTTTTGCTTCAACCTTGTTTATTTTGCCTTTCTTTCTGTCCTTACTTCTACGGAGGTATTTCATAATCCTCCTGATCCTTAAATAACAGAAGTCCTATCCTGTGTCCTCCCTTTCCCCACCAAAGAAAACTTATGCAACATTGGGTGTTATATAGAGAAGAAAATACTTAAATCTGGGATCATCTTTGGATGCTTCAGGCTCTACTCCATGTTCCTGACTAGTTGCTTTACTTTTGTGTTCTCTACTGACAGATGAACTACTAACTGTTCTAATTTAGCTCGTAAGGTCTGACCTGATTCTCTTGCAACCTCTTCACCAATAAACCTCTAACCTTGTTGATTCTTTTCTCATACCTTGTAAGCACATTTTTTTGATCCTAATAATGCCTATGCATCCAGTTACATCCAAAGAAGTTGTTCCTGGTTTTCTGCTTGATACACAAATCCAGATAACCTTTAATTTAAAGAAAATGCAGGTTTCCCTTACAGATAAGTCTTGAGTGCTCTAAGGTATTAACTGGTTTACTTTTGGACAACAAACGCATAACTTGCTGTATATACAGCTTTTTCATCACTAGTGCTGCTTACCAAAGCTGAAACAAATACGTTGCCAGGCTTAGGGGTCATATTTCTGGATTCAGTAGAATTTCTTTGGATAAATAAAAATAAACTTCCTCTGATAAATTCAGGTCGTTCAAATAGCAGGTAGGAACATGCTGATAGACTGGAACAGATGCTTCCAATTGCTTCTTATACTTTATACCAATGGAAAGTGTTAGGCCTCCAAAAAACCATGACTAGATATTTCTGTACTAACGCATAAATTTAATCTTTTGTGGGGGGGTTATTGAGAACCATTGGAGAAAGCATTCATTGCAAATAGTGTTGTTTGACTTCCCTTCATAGTAGCATATGTTAACAAATGGCTGTTTTCAGGTGTGTGTAAAAGGGCCAAGTGTGTTTCGTGGCTATTTGAAAGATCCAGAAAAAACAGCAGAAGCTCTGGACAAAGATGGCTGGCTTCATACAGGAGATATTGGGAAATGGCTACCGGTAAGTTAACTTACATAGCTGAAATGTACTTCTGTAGTTATTAGCAGTAACCAAACAAATAAAATGGAAAATACTTGGTATTGAACACAATGAATTAGGTGAGACAAGTAATTTTAGGAGGAGGATAATTACTGTTGCAGATAAATCTGTGTGCCTGGGGCTAAGAAAGTATTAGCAGTGCCAATCCTGAGGCTTTCCCTAGTTTAGATTAGTTGGGTGCAGAGCCTGTTTCCTTCTGATGTTAATTTGACCATACTCAGGCTCTAGCACTGTGTTACTGTACTAATGTGGCATGCTTAAGCTACGTAGATTGGTTTTTCACTTGAAGTGCCTCTTCTGAGTGGAAGTTATTTCTGTCAACAGAATGGTACGTTGAAGATCATTGACCGGAAAAAACACATATTTAAACTAGCCCAGGGAGAGTACATAGCACCAGAGAAAATAGAAAATGTGTATCTGAGATGTGAAGCAGTCGCTCAGGTGTTTGTCCATGGAGAGAGCTTGCAGGTAAGCATTCTTCAGGTAACTTTAAAAATGAATGCAAGAGACCACTGCAGAAAAGTCATCCTTCCCCACCCCCAAACTTTGGGACTGAAATACTAAAAAAAAAATTCAACATTACACATTTTGGTTCTGAATGTACTTTGGACTCCAGCAGTTAATACAGCATGTTTCTGGATTTAGTTTCAGACCATGTAGTGGAGCTGGATTAATTTGAGTATTAATGACTGTACATAAATTGCTAACAGTATGCAGGGAAAATAAAACAAACAAACAAACAAAAAAAAAACCAAACCAAAACAAACCAAGATGTGGAGGTTTCTGCAAGTGTAAACTGAAATGTGAGTCTTAACAAGAGTAATTCTCTCAAGTGCAACCTTGAGCTGCACTCCTGTGTTCAAGTAGCAGAAAGCTGATGAATTTCAGTTTTTAAGAAATGCTGTCCAAAAACCTAACACGGACTAGTGAGAAATGTGTAGGAACTAAAGAGTTGACTTTGAAAGAAAAAAGCTTGATAAAAATTCCTTTTTAGGCCTTCTTAGTAGCTGTTGTGGTACCTGATCCTGAGACTTTGCGCAACTGGGCCAAGAAAAAGGGATTTGAAGGCTCGTATGAAGAGCTATGCAAAAACAAGGTGAGTCATACCTACCTGAACAGTTAGTTGTTTGGCATCAGCTTTTTCGAGCTATACAATGTATTCCTGTATCCACAGGACCTCAAAAAACACATTCTGGAAGACATGGTGAGGATTGGGAAAGAATCTGGATTGAAGTCATTTGAACAGGTAAGATGCATGTGAGAACCAAACACCCAATTCATTAAACTTCTCAACACCAATATAATCTGACTCCCCAGAAACTGCTTTTAACTTGCATCTGGAAAGTTTTTTGAAGTGTTTTTTTTTGTTGTTGTGATGTCTGGGCAATTTTTTAATAGCCGTATCTATTTCAGGGAACGCAGCTTAACTAGTAACTGTTTACTTTCCAGGTCAAAGACATTGTCTTGCACACTGAAATGTTTTCTATTGAAAACGGCCTGCTGACACCAACACTGAAGGCGAAGAGACCAGAACTGCGAAAATATTTCCAGTCACAGATAGATGAACTCTATGCTAATGCCAAAATGTAACTGGGGATGGAATGAGGAAAGTGGCACATGTCTGTCTACTGTTGGCCTTGATATCTGTAATTTGACTACAGCAAACATAGGGAAGGAAACTGTGCAATCATTAACTTGTACTAAAATGGGTACTTGCCATAGGAACATTGAAGAAATGGAACACTGCCTTACTGTCAAGTTGTGTTGCATACTGTTTTTATGGTGACCTACAATTTCCAAAAAAGAGCCTTAACTATAAATGGTAACTATATGTAAGTTATTTAAGACTTCCTCGGCCAAAAATGGGACTCTCCTTCATCAAGGAGCTAAGGTTTTCTTATTGCCAGCACGTTTGCTGTCTGCAGTGTATTTTGCAGTTGTCAATTCCACAAGGGGATTTGGCAAGTTTGAAATGCCTCTAAGCATCTTGCACCCTCAGAAGGATTACTTAATCTCTTCAAAAAAGAAAAAAAAAAAAACAACAAAACAACAAAACAAACCAAACCAACCACCAAAAAAACCCAACCCCTCACAGTTGTGTAGCTGGTATCACGTCTTGCATTAATCCTAGTATTAACCGGGGCAAAGCTTCCAAGTGGGGCTTTTTTCTCCCTTCTATATCCGCAGCCAGTTCTGAGATGTACTTTATAAGGTAGAAGTCAGAACTCCCCACAAAGGAGACTGATGAGTACGAGTTCCTCAGAGTAAGTCTGCATTTGGTGGTTCCGCACTACAAGTGCAGACACAGTTAATCCAGCCAGTGTAGCCTTTGCTACATTAACACAAATCCAGAGTAATGCCAGCCCTGTAAGTGACCAGATCCTAACTCTGGCAAGAACACTAAGAGACCTAAAACCACGACCACCCAGGAGGCTGGGCTATGCTAACAGATAAACACTGCCCCTGTATTAGCCACTTGTTTCCCTGTAACAACTGTGTACTTAAAATGCATTTTTAAAAAATGTGCCAGGTCCTCTATAAGCAGAAGAACTTCTGACACAACCTCTCAGATTTCTGTGCTTTATGTATGAGCCACTGGGTATTCTTCACTGAATAGCAAAATAGGTCAGGTAGAATATTTTTGCCTGATGCTTTGCAGGAATTGGGAGTGTTTATATACGCCAACAGAACTGTGTGTTGGCACAGGATAGGTATCTGTTCAGGGATAAAAACCTAATTCGCAGATAAATTACAAAACAACCAGTTACCTTTTGTTTGAGAAATCAGCAGAAATAAGCCTTATTACAGCGTAAGTCTTTTGCTATCTTTAACAGAGTTGGTTTTGCATTAGCATTCATTGCTGTTTTTTGAAAACATGGATATATGTAAAATACAAGCACAACAAGGTTTGCACTAAGATTTGTGTGTGATTGTAATGCACTACTCTGTAGCATAATTTCATACATGTGTGCAATGAAGGTACACAAATCCAAGTCAACTGTTAGAGCAGTAGTTTATGACATTGGAATTCAAATGTTTGCTTAGTGTTGGCTATTTCTATGTTTTATAAAACCAAAACAATTTTCAAAACCAATGAAGGAAACCAAAATAAATATTTCTGCATTTCAACTCAGTGAAGTGTTTTTGTTTATCAAGGAAAGATGCTGCTGACTAACAAGCCCTGGTGTAATTTGGTAACTCTGGCAAGCTGGAGGACTCCACTGCTACAAACATACTAAACAGAGGATAAATGCTGGTGGTTGACACTTTACTTTTGGAAGATAACTTTTTGCTTTGGTCTGATATTTATGGGCATGCTTTTTTTGGCCACTATCTGTAAGAAAGGGATGCTGTTGTGTGTAACTTGCTCCATCAGTATTCTTAAAACAACAACAACAAAAATCTTCCTTAGTTTCTGACTGTTAGGTAGTGTTCTTACCATCATCCTAAACCACTTTTGAGTGAAATCTGGAGTGTTCTTAACTCTTATGCTGCTTTTGGGTCATAGTGGTTGTCCTTCATGTGTTGTCATCGTTCCTCCCCTTCTCCCTTATACAGTCCCTCTGGCTTTAATCAGGGGTATCATATGAAAGAGGTCATGGGCAGTTTTATCAGACCAGGGTAGATGAAGCCTCACCACCAAGCCAATGTTTAGAGGTCAATGCTAACACAGATGTTGTTGTGAAATAATCAGCATGCTTCTGTTCCTAGCCATGGTAGACTTTCTCCTTGTATGTTCCTTTACACTTTTCTTCCCTACTGAAGGAAATCTAAACCAAACTTTTGTCACTGTATTCAAGTATGTGTGTATGCTGCTTGGAAAGATGGAGTGAAGTATCGCCACACCTTTCCTCATGGAGGTGGCTAAGAGATGGTTGAGAGCTGGATCCAAGGTTTATATTCTTAACACATCCCCTCAAAGAAAGCTTTCTGGAAGAGCCAGTTCTCACTACAGAAACAAAGGTGTGCCCGATTAATGCTGTACTACTGCTTGTTACCTTCAGCTGATGGGGCTGGGTGCTATAGCTGGCAAATTGGAAGTATAAAGAGAACTTGCCACCTGATAACCTGAAGTGGTACTTCCTTGTGTTTTAATTCACCATTTTATCTTACTTGGTTGGACATAGGGGAGTGGGGGAGCACCAGCAGATGATCTTTGGAAGAACACCCTGACCTGTGGATGAAGAGATGTGGCAACTAGTCACCCTCTTGACAAATTGCTAAATCTCCTGCTATCAATTTAATTGCTGAGTAACTAAGAGCCAAGTATAGAATTGCAAGTTTTCAATCTGAGCCCTACTTTTTTGGGGGCAGACTATTACAGCAAGTAATATTTTTGTATGCTTTGTGTCCAAACTGCTTCAAGTTTCTGACCTTAGATTTCAGGTTATCTTTGTAGAAATTATCTTGTTCACTTGTTTTCTAGATAGGTTGGAAGTCAGAGCCAAGCAATGCCTGGGCTTGTTTATGTAATGCCACCTATGCACACCATCCGTTCATGGCGTGTGTGAGGAGGAGAAGAAAACGTGGGGTTTTTTGTAGTGTAGAAAACTAGTCGGTAGAAAAAAGAGCCAGCAGAGGGCTGGTTAGGTGAATTCTTCTGGACCCCTGAATCCAGACTGCGCTGCTGGTCAGTACAGACCCTGGGTGTGCTTAGGCACTGGAAGAAAAAGAAAATCAGTCT